ACCATGCTCAGCCAAATAAGGTAGTTTTATTGTGAGTTCTTCACCACTACTCCCTGAAGGTGTGTTTTTCTGAGAAGCATCCCCCTCCCCCAAGCATTTGCTTGGCTTGAATTCAGAGGCTCCTTTTCACCTCCCCACCTCCATCTGTCTGGGCACAAGTTCAGATTATGATGACTGTTGAGCAGTGTTGACTTAATTTGGCTCTAGAATTCATTTTGCTAGCAAAGGAATGAGAAAGACTCCTTGTGTCTGGAGGGTGTCACAGAGTACAACCCTTAACCCCCTTGTGCAAAAGGCCACCCATCCTTCAAACAGCCATTCTTCACCTCCACTTAGGCTCAGCCTACTACCCTAACCCTAACCCAGTCCCCAGAGGAGGAGTCAAGGCTAGCTTTGACTAGAGATGAGGCTGACAAAGGTTTCTACTACCTGGAGTTCCACAAGCCATGGAGTTAAACGTACATGACATACCCTCTGGGTAGTCCAGTGCTTTGGCCTCTCAGCCCAATCATGCCCCTCTGAAAACAGACAATCCTAGCCCAAAGAGGCCAGTTACATGTCTTGGGCATCCATGACACCATCCATGACTCAGAGACCCAGGAAGAAAAAGCAATAGGCATGGTTTTGGCAACCCAAGGGACACAGCTACCTGCTACCCTAGAAGACCCCCTCCTAGGCTGGGTTCCCAGTAAATCTAGGTGTGTTCTCAGCAGGGGCCTCTTCAAGAGCCCTGGGGTTGGTAGTCAACTGGGCACTAATTTAGGTTTTGTGTCCCTTCCCCCCAGTAGAGAAGCAGGACCTGCCTGTGGCCTCTAGCTCTGGGAGGGGTGTGTGGCTTGAAGGGTGTGTCCCTAATCTGGTTGGACTGGTTGACACTGACACACACCTGAGAAGGACTGGAGCCATCACTGACCTGGAAGCTTGTGGGTCTCCCCAAGACTGCCTGAAGGAGGAGCCTCTAGTGGAGTGGTGCCTCCAGGCAGCCCCAGTATCCTCAAACTGGCACTCCAGGGACCAGAAGGCTCCAGCAGCCTCCAGCTGATTCCCAGCTTCCCAGCTGGAAAGACTGTTACAGAATCCCAGGAATGTGCCTTGAGCTCAGAAAGAAAATTCCCAAAATAACTTCTATAAATACTTGAGGATGGGGTGGAAAGAAGCACTCAGCCTGGCCCCCAGCTGGCCTAGCACTAGTACTTCTTCTCAGGGTAGACTCCCAAAAGATGATAACGGTGCACCCGTAGGCCTCCCTATTGCCCCACTACCTAGGGGACATCACTGGACACTGAATCAATGGGGCGAGGTGTAGGAAGGACAGAAAGACCTTTCTCCATCCAAGCTGTAGCCTCAACCCCACCCTGTATCTCTCCTGATAGGGAGGGCCCCCCCCCCCCCCCCCTTTCCTCCCCTCATTTTCCGGGGGGACCGGCCCCCAGCGACGCCACGGCCCCCCCACCCTCCCCGTTTTCAGCGCCGCCTTTTTTTTTAGGGAGGGCCCCCCCCCCCCCCGCCTTTCAGTCTCTAGACTTGCTGGGGAATCAGGCCTCAAGCAAGGCACAGTCCCCTCAGACTGCCTGCTTTAGAGTCCCTCACAGACAGGGCTTGCTGATCTGGAATCCCTAAAGGCTGAGACAGGTGTCTTTGGCTGTGTGTCCAGGTCCCTCCCACCTGGCTCTGTTGTTGCTCTGCTGAGAACAGTAAAACTGGCAAGAAACAGGTGCTGTCCCTCTTATCTGGAGCACAGGACAGGGATGGCATACAAAAGCCCCACAGTGCAACATCAAGGTGGTAGTCTCTCCAGGATCACTGTCCTCTGGAAAGGGAGAACAGATCCCTGGTGGATGGATATGGCGAGGTTCCCCACACTGAGATTTGGGAAAGGAGGGGATGGAGGTGGGAATTTCTGGGAACGTCCCTCATAGCCCTGCCCCTCCCTTGAAACTCAAGTGGTAACTGATCTCAGCCTAAGTACCCCTTGTAGGTACAGTGCTTCATCATGACAGACATGGCTGTCAAATCCCTGGGGATGAGCAGTCCAGCCACGGCACCCCAGTGGAGGATCAGAAGCTAGGAACCTCTCTACAGGTTTGGGCTCTTTTCTTAGCAGATGAGGAGCAGGGAGGGAGGACTCAGTGGGGACATGCAGCTGGAACTGAGACCAGTTCTATGTTCCCACCATGTCCCTGGAGACCTGTTCTCACAACTGGTGTAGCTTCAGGAGGGTGCTGATAAACCCTAGGGTAGTGCCAGACTGAGGATAGAGCAGGTGAGAGACCTTGCATCTTCCGGGGTTTGGGTCCCACCCAGTTGTCAGGCAGCAAACAGCTCTGAGTTGCTACTAAACACAAATGTGGCTGGTATCAGGGGCAGGTGGCTACAGATCCTGTTACAGGCCCTGGGCCTCCAGGCCCCAGCCTGACCCCAGCCTGACTTGGTGTCTCCTTTCAGGCTCTAAGGTCAGCATCCTAGGGTAGGGGAACGTAAGCCAACCCCACTCTAGCCCCACAGTCCTTCCCAACAAAGAATCCTGCCATCTCCCAGCGTCTAGAGAAATGGGCAGTGCCTGCCCCTCCCTACCCCACATACCCTCTGCTCCTCCCAGAGAGATTGCCACATACTAGCTGTCCACTGTGTGGTCCTGGCTGCATCTTTTTCAATCCATCCATGTAGAAGCCTCACAGCAGCCCTGTAAGGAACAATTCTTCCATCCCCTAGTTTACAGACAAGGAAATCACAGCTCAGAGATCAATGAGGTGGCTACGGGGGTCACTGTGCATGTCAATGGCAGAGCTGGGATTCAGTCCAGCTAGGGCTTCTGGTTGCTGGCCTTGGGTTTTGCCCTCTACTGAGGCACATAGAAGAGCCCACTGCAGCTGTCCAGGCTGAAAGTCAGACACATGCACACACATCCTATTTAGTCTGCACACACATCTGGCCCCTTCCTGGACCATTTTTTTTTCTTATTTTTTTTTGCTAGGACTGAACCTATGGCCTCCTACATGCTAGGCAAGTGCTGTACTACTGAGCTACATCCTCAGCTCTCTTTTTTACTTTTTATTTTGAGATGGTCTTGTTAAATTGCCCAGGCTAGCCTTGAACCCTATAGCTCAGGCAGGCCTTGAACTTGTGATCCTCCTGCCTTAGCCCCCATCCCACCCACCCCCACCCCCAAGTTGCTGGGATGACAACCTGGCAGCACCAGGCCCAGGTAGACACCAAGGTTTTTCAAACCCCTCTGAAGTAGAACTCTTCCCAGTGAAACTTCCTGTGGAAGGAAGCACCAGAAAGAAAGCTCAGAACGCAGAAGCAACTGGGCCTGCCCTGCTCTCTCTGGTGGACCCTGCTGGCTACCTCTGCCCTCTGTCACTCCCTACGAGCAGCATTTACAAGCCCCAAACCTCCTGTTTTGGTATTTCATTTTGGTGTCTGGCAGCCATTAGCTAGCCTTCCTTCTCTCTTCCCTGTGGACCCTGTTGCATTGTGAACTGTTCAGGGTCCTGCTCCGGCCATGGGGACAGAACAGGGTGGCCAGATGGGACACTGCCCCTGGTCCTGGCAACCCTCAGTCAGCACTGTTTGCCTCTGGCTAGAGCCAAGGCCCTGCCCCAGGCTTCAACCCTGCCCACAGCTCCCCTGCCCCCACCCATTGTTCTGCAGCCTCAGCTGAGGCTGCTGAGCTGAGTGGTTCTTTGGGTGTGGCCATGCTTAGGATCCTTAGAGGGTCCTAGAAGCCCAGTTCTGCTCACTGCCCGCTGGCCTCAGGACTTCCAGCCAGCACCTCCAGAGAAGGAGCCTTTTCCTAGGTTTACTGAGCACCATCTTTCTTGCCTAATTGGTCATGTTCCAAGCTCTCCGAGGACTTTATGAGATCAGCCATGTGCATCTTTCCTGGTGCGTCTCCATAGCAACTGAAGGCCTAACTCTAGGGAGCTCAGGGAGGAGGAACATGATCCAGCTAAAAATGTACATGGCCATCAGTGGGCGGGCTGCAGAGAGGGGGCTTCGGGCACAGAGACGGCTCCCTGCCCCGACTCTGGTCCCCTGCCTACCCAGGAAGTCAGTGTTGGAGCTTTACCTCCACTGTTGGAACAAGAGGAGAGCTCTCCCCATTGGGCTGCCTTCAAGGCCTGAAGAAGAGCTCGGTGGGATGGTACAAAGCAGCCTTTCTGGGACCTGAAGCCTTCCTCATGCTCCCCACCGGTCCCCTGCTCCCCAGGGTGGGTGGAAGAGGATGTTCACACACAGGGTGTCAGTTTCACTCCCCAACCCCCTTTTGTGACAATTCTTGTCACTTCCTCTTGTTCTCTACCTAAACTGCAAGGCTTCTTGCTCATGGCCCAGATACCCTGGGCTTTTCATCCTTAAGCCCCTTCCAGCTCAATACCCAGCAACTGCCCCCCTCCTACACCGTCTCATTTCTTCCCCTAACCCTCACATGCCAGTTGGCCTTAGATGGCTGCTTGGGCCCCAGGAACCAGCTGTTACCAGGAGACAGGCTGCTGATACAGACAGAGGAACTGTCCCTTCCTGTCACAAACCAGACACACCTCATATTCTCCATAGCCCTGGGGTGAGGGACAGTTCCATGCTGCCAGCAACAAGAACTGGAATAGAGAGCCAGACTTTACATCCACCGGTTCATTGCATCCATCAGCTGCATTGTCCTAAAGGGCATGCTGTGATTTATTTATTTATTTACCATTTGCAGAGGAGGGAAATGAGGGCCCAGAATCCCACACATGGGGCCACTCAAAACCAGATCTAGACTTGAAGGCCCGTTCCTTAGGGCTAAGAGGAACCTCCGTCCTGGAGAGGGTGATCTGGGAAGCCAGGACTGAAGCAGGGATTGGGCGTGGACAAGTAGGTTTTGCATGAGTAAAGGGCACAGTCATTTGTTGGTAGCCAAGCCGGATCTAGGGCTTCTCTGGCTGGTGGCCAGCGAGCAGTCTGCTCTTGCCCTCTGTGAGTGCCCTCATTAACTCTGCCCTCTGCTTGGTCTCTAGGGTCTGATGCTGAGTCAACTGGGCCACAAGAGCCTTGCTCAGAAGGTGCTTCGGGATGCCGTGGAGAGACAGAGCACCTGCCACGAAGCATGGCAGGGCCTGGGTGAGGTGCTGCAGGACCAGGGCCAGAACGAGGCTGCTGTTGACTGCTTCCTCACTGCCCTGGAGCTGGAGGCCAGCAGCCCCGTGCTACCCTTCTCCATCATCCCTAGAGAGCTCTGAACCTCTGCAGCAGCGGAGAACTATCCAGTGTGGGCAGCAGGAACAGGCAGGGAGCACGGAGGGCCAGCTGCATTCAGGTGTGGGGCTTCAGGGAATAGATCTCTAGTGAACACTTCTACACACTGCAGTGCCAGTTCTCTACCGCCTGCCCCCCACCCCCACCCCGACCTCCCTGCAGGGCCAGCTGGGCCTGGGTTCCCATTTAGAACTGGGTAGACAAGATTTGCATCCAAGCAAATCCCTTGCTCCCAGGACACTGGCACTGTGGTGTTGGTGAGGCAAGGGGCACCTTTAGATCAAGGTGTGTCCTGGCCCCAAACCCCACCATTAGCCTCCCTGACCACTGAATTTCCTGGCTTTGGACAAACGAATCTTGAGTTTGTGTGCCATAGAGATGAACCTTTGACCTACCCTCTGGATGCTTTTCTTGGTGCCTTGGGAGACAGATTAGCTTGAATTCTAAGTGACATTACAGAGTAGTGATCAGAGCAAAGCAAGGGAAGCCTTGGCCTGTATTCCCCTTCACCCCCAATCTCATGGTATTACAAGCTTCTAGACTGTTCTTGGGCCTTGCCCAGGACAGCCACAGCTTGGGTCACAGGCACAGGGAGTAAAGTGGGCTCCTGGGTTCCTCTCAGGCTGAATTAGTGGCTGATAACTAGTGTTCTCTTTCGGGAGGTCACCTGGGTGCCACATGTGCTTTCACTGTGCCACCAAGTGCCTTTGGGTTTCGTATCTGACTAGAGCCACTGAACACCTACCCACATCTCCCAGGAAACATACCCAAGCCAGTGGGCTCCATGGACCCTATACCAGCAGCCCCTAGGATAGGCCTCAAAAACACAGCTCTGACCCAGCCACCTTGAGTCAACACATGACTTCAAGCCTTTCCCTACAGTGCAGGTCCTTCTAGGGTGAGTGACTAGGAGCTGACAATTTCTACGATTAACCGCAATACACTTTATTACCCGTAACCCATTTTTCACTTTGTTCTTTAGCAAATGCCCCAAAGCCCCAGCCTAGCCTTTTAGGCCTTCTTGCCAAGGGCCCCACACAGGCTGTGCCTCACCTTTTCATGCCCATGATGTGTTCTTTTTGCTGGTGTCCAGCTGCTGGGCAGAGGTCCCTTCTGCTCTTTGTCCTGCCACTTCCCCTTGTGGAACTTTCCCTCAGGAAGCTGTCCCCTGGGGTCTAGCAGGGAGCTCCTTTCTGATTTGCCCAGAACTCTGGTTGGAAACTCCCTCAGGTTCAGTTCTCATTTTAAGATATCTGCAAAGAGGGTTGAGGACCACCCTGGTTTGCCATGGCCACAACTCTCTTGGAAGGAGAAAATCACTGGAGCCCAAGCTCCATGCTGTACTGGCTCAGCACTGCTTGTCTCCAGGTGTCCCAAGAGGTGCCTCCTGGTCATGGTGCCAGGCCCAGGGCACTATGGAAGACATTTGATCCTTTGCCTCTTGGTTGAAGGGTCTCTATATGTATGTGTGTATATAAATATATATATATATATTAGAGATCTATATTTTTTTCTGAAATTCTGTTAGAAAAGAGTAAAGAGTAAATAAATTCTATTGTTTCCTTGGGGGGACCCATGATGGTGGTCAGTTCTTGGTAGCAGGAGAGATACCAAACACATTCTGACTCTAAGGAGTTCCTCTTTGGACACCATGAGGAGGCGCGGCCTACTTCCTGACAGTGACTTTGGAAAGTGAATAAAGAGACCCTTGAGGGGGAAGCATGACTGTCCGAAGCAGAGTGTTCATTCACCTGGCATACAGCATAGAGATGGTAGCCCAGGTCCTGGAGAGGAGGGTGATGCAAGAGGAGGCCACAGTCCGGAAGCATAGCAGGTGGAGAGGAGACAAAGAGAGACAAGGGCCAGTCTCCAAGATCTGGAGTTCAGCTGGAGAACCTTGTCATGTGAGAGTGTATGAGCAGTGAGGCTGGGGCAGCTACAGAGGTTGGGGCCAAGGCTTGGAGGTAATAGAAGGAGGCAGACAGACCTGAGCAGGGCTGGTCCTGGCTTGTGACACATCCTTCAAATGGACCTGAGTCCCCAAGGAGCCTCCAGGATTGCGGGTGATCAGGCCACATCTAGGTGACCCCTGCTGCTCACAGAAGTACAACTGAAGAGAGAAATCCTAGCTCATACAGAAAACACGCACCAAACTTTTTCAAAGAATGATGAAAGTTGACGTAGAAGCTATTTCACCATGACCCAAGGGACTGCCTGATGTACCACAAGGGCTGCATAGAGTCCTGGCCTCCAACTAACTGGACCATGGAGGTGCTGGCCCACAGTGTGACAGATGGCCTGGCATCCCCACTCAGGGACACCTATCCAGGTGTGAACTGGCATCATCCTTTAATTCTTACTAACTTTCCATCCTTTTCCTCTCTGGAATAGCTCTTTAGAACTTGGCAAAAAGTCATTGCCTTCTTTAAAAGCACATATTTGATTTTGAACCATTTTCAATACTGTATAAATTGTGCCTTTTTACTCTTTCACACTTTGGTATGTCTTTACCAACAGCAAAGGTGGGTTGCTGTCTTACCTGACCTCAGCAGAGTTCACAGAAGGTGGAGCACTGACCCAATGCTCTCTCAGCTAGTCCTCCATCCTCCTGCTTTGCAGCAATGCTCTTTATAGTATTGCTTCCTGGCAGCCAGGATCCCATGGTCCATTTAGCTGTCCTGCTCTAGTCCTTTAATCAGGACAGTTCTGCCTCCTTTGCTTTTCATGGCATTGACACTGCCAGAGGCAGCAGCAGGTCTGGCCTCAGTATAACCAGGAGGAGACAAAGGGAAGCAGCTATGGGTGGGAGTGGACACTAAAAAGTGGCAGAAACCACAGGCCAGAGAGGACAATGGGGACTAGCTAATTGGTAGAAGCTGGGAGATAAAAGCAAAAATGAAGAACAGATGAATCTTTTCAAGGCAGACTTTCTGGACAACTAAATGACTAGGAGCTAAAGGAGCTCTGAGGCTCCTTTCTGTACCATGCCTCCAACTCCAGCAGCCTAACTGGTTTCCTGGGAGCCTTACAATGACCCATGTGCCTGGAGAGCCTGTATATCTGTTCCTAACAGCCCTGCCCATCTCCAGAGATGTCATCTCTCCCTGCACTGTCACCTCTAGCCCTGAGACCAGCCTGATGACAAGGGTTCCAGCTTTTATCACTGGCACATGTATAAAGCATGTGTACCATGATAGGAACTAAGCAGGTGTATGGATGCTTGCTGGAGGAGCAGCTCTGACATCCAAGGTGTGAAGGTCACAAGTGAAGATCACCTTCACCCTGAGCCCACTGTCTGCACAGTGAACTGTAACTCTATGACCTCCAGTTCAATATGGGTGTAGGAGGAAAAGGCCATCACAAGCACCTCTCTCAAGCCCAATCCCTCAGCTCACTACCTCAGTTCAGGGAGGCCCAGGGCTAAGAGGCTGTGGGTATCCTTCACGGCTCATACATCCCACTCTGAACCCACCCTGCCAAGGGGGCAGGGGCTGTGTCCTGATACAAGATGATTTATGAATCCACAGAAGCCCCTGTGGGCTGTGGACAGTCTGGCCCAGCTCCCCTTGGGGACGGCTCCTTTTCTGAGCTGGGAGCTCAGGTTTCCTGGGTCTTTCCCCTCCCTCCTCTCTTCTGTGAGCCCACCAGGTCTTCTGGGACATCAAAGAACCACCCCTGTGTACTCCACACCCTGCAAGATCTCTTTCCAGAACTCCTTTGTGGGTTCATGCTTAGCCTCTTACCCTTCAAACCCCAGTTCCCATGTTTCTCAGCCACTTTCTGCAGACTCCACCTCCTACTTTACAGGACCCATGCACTTTGTCAGAACACCACAGGTCCTGTGAGCTCTGCTTCCATACACTATACACCTGAGTTCAGCCATACACATGTGCACCTCATGAACACAAAGTTAGCCGGACCCTCAGCAGGCCCTCCTGTGCAGGGTAGGCTCAGAATACAAATGTGGAATGAGGCTGCCTTGTCCTCCACCATAGATAGAACTTGAACTTGCCCAACCTATATGCTATACCAACACAACTCTTTACCCTGGTGCTGTTGGGGAGGAGAAACTGCATAGAGGCCTCAGCCCTCCTGGTGTCTATTACATTTCACAAGGATCCACATGATTGGTCGAAATTTCATACATATATGACTTAGTTACTTTCTATTGCTAATACAAACACTGACCAAAACTAATTTGGGAGGAAAGGGTTTATTTGGTTTACAAGCACAGTTCATCATCAAGGGAAGTCAAGGTAGGAACTCAGGGCAGACCATGGAGGAAGGCTGCTTACTGGCTTGCTCCTCTGACACATGCTCAACCTGCTTGCTTTCTTTTTTTATTTTTTTTTTAAGCAGGGTCTCTCTGTAGTCCCAACTGTCCTGGAACTCACTATGTAGACCAGGCTGGCCTTGAACTCACAGAGATCCACCTGCCTCTACCTCCCAAGTGTGCCACCACACCTGGCTTCAACCTGCTTTCTTATACAATACAGGACCACCTGCCCAGGGGTGGCACCACCCACAGTGGGTAGACCCTCCCACATCACTCAGCAATCAAGAAAATGCCCCACAGACATGGCCACAGGCATCTAATGAAGGTAATTCCCCAATTGAGACTCCCTCGACCCAGGTGTGTCAAGTTGACAACCAAAGCTATCCAGCACTCTACCACGGGTCACTGGTCTATTCCCACAGGCCCTTGTATATTTTTTTTATTTTGTGGTAGGGTCTCATTAAGTTTCCCAGGCTAGTCTTGAACTCGAAATCATTTTGCCTCAGCCTCCCAAGTAGCCAGGATTACAGGCCTGTGCCACCAGGCCCAATCCATTGTATTTTTTTAAAAAAAAATAAAGTTATACATACGCTTCAGCTATAAAGTACTTTAAAAACATGCACCTACACCATTAGGATCTTCATCAGTGAGCCACTGGGACACATAGGTCACTGAACAATTTTTAGAACCTTTATTTTTATGTCTACCACTCTCAGATAGTACACTTTTAAAAGAAACTTGAATAAACATGGTTTCTGGAGAGTCTCTCTGGAGCCATGTGTGCCATTGATAAGCCATGAGCAGAGCTCTCCCTCTCTCCCCCATTCTTATAAGAGGGTAGGGCAGGCAGGCTCCAGAGCCCAGAATTTTCCCTTTGGGCCTGGCACACTCCACATACTACAGCCCTGCCCTTGGCCAAAACCAGAGAGTCTGGGGACCCCAGCCAGGAGTCAAAAGAAGTGCCTGGCATCAGAACTCCCAAACTACCACCACCTGCTAATGTGCCAGGAACCAGCTTCCCTCAGAAAACCTTGGTACTGTGCTTTCTTATTCCCTAGGCCTCAGCCAGGTGCAAAAATGGGTCAATATTGTCCTCATAGCTGGGGAACAACTCTCTATAGCAGGATGCTATCTTCTTTTTTTTGTGTGTGTGTGAGGGGGTCCTTTTTGAGACAGGGACTCCCTGTAACCCCAGCTATGGAACTTGCTACATAGACCAGGCTGGCCTGGAACTCACAGAGGTCTGCCTGCCTCTGCCTCCCAAGTGCTGGGTTTAAAGGCATGCATCATCAAACCAAGCTAGGATCCTGTCTTCTTAAAGCTTGGGTTAGGGAGCTACTTATGTTCAGCTCAGGTGTTGGTGGCTGGTGTCTTCACACCACATATGCAGGTCTTAACTTTGGGTTGGACTTTAGAACAAACTGGGCCTGAGTCCTTATCCCATGTTGGTGTCAACTTGATAAAATCTAGAATCATCTGGGAGATGGGCCTCCCGTGCATCTTAATGGAGAATTATCTTGATTACGTGAATTGATGTGGGCAGACCCCCCATCTTGATTGTGGATGGGACTTGGGCTATGTAAGTGGAAGGAGCTAGCTGAGCACTAGCTTGCATGGAGTAATTCACTGCTCTTCTGTGGTCTCTGTGGATGTTTGTGATGAGCTCCTTCAAGCTGTCACCTTGACTTCCCCACTATGATAAGCTATACCTTGAACTATAAACCAAAATAAACCCTTGTGGGGGGGAAGAAACTAATACACCCTTCCCCCCAGTCTAATGGAATTTACCCATCTAAGAGTTGCCCAGGAGCTATAAACCCTCCCCAGGGAATGCTAATGTGTGGTTAGAAACCTCTCATTCAAGCCCAAACAATCCTGGAAGAGTAGACTAAAGCTGGAGGATCACATATCCTGATTTCAAAATTGCTACAAAGCTACAGAACTCAAAACAGCAAGTTACTGGCATAGAGACAGATATATAAGCCAATAGATTAGAATAGACAGCCCACCCAGGCATAAGTCCTCACATATATGGTCAAATGATTTTTGAGAAGGGTGCCAAGACTATTCAATAGGGAAAGGACAGTCTTTAACAAACAGGGCTGGGGAAACTGGTTATCAATATGCAAACGAAGTTGGACTTCTGCCTAATACCATATTCAAAAATTAACTAAAAATAGATCAGAGACCTAAATGTAAGACCTAAAACAGTAAAAATCTTAGGAAAAAAACAGGACAGAAACTTCAGAACATTTGATGTTCTGATGATAATTTTTTGAATGTGGAAACAAAGGCACAGGCATCAGAGGAAACAGAGAAACAGACTTCATAAACATTTAAAAATCTTATGCAACAAAAGACGCTATCAACAGTGTAAAGAAGCACCTCACGGAATGGGAGACAATATTTGCAAACCATGTATCTGTCTGATAAGAGACTACTGTCCAGGGGCTA